GACATTGCACAAAACCAATATACTAATTCACTTCGTGAATGAGTATAATTATAAATGACAAGTTTATGGCAGATAATCACATTTTAGATAGTTTCCAGAAATAATTTGGCACATATTTGAAATTAAATATGATGAGTCTTAAAAAAATGCACAGAGCAGGAACAGATTTATATGTCGATCCTGTCTATGACACTCTCAAATAAATCCAAGTTTAATATGATTAATGGATTAGATTAGTTTAAGTTTAATTTAATTAATATGATTACTGGATTAGATTGGTTTAAGTAGATGATTTCAGTTGAACCATAACCATAATTGCAAACCAAAGGAATTCATTCGAATTTCCGTTGAAACAATATTATACAGTAATAATTTAATAGCATTAAGAATTAATGGTTTTGTCTCTATTGAAATTGCTGGTGCATAGCAAATTAAGTGTGAAATTAATTGCACTAACCGCACTGACATATAATATGTATATAAATAAAAGCCAGCTAGTTTTCCTCCTTCCCTCTATCAGCCCCTCTATATGGTATTATACACTACACAGTTATGTGTTTGTCTGCATTTGTTTATATAATTATCAGAGACTCGCATATAATTTTCATTTATTTGATGGCTGTAAATTAAAAAGCGGTCGACACACAAATAAGCAAAACTTTTGATATGCTGTTCGTTGTTTGCAGTGCTCAACAAAACGGGGTCGAGGTCAACGCTTGTCATCCATTTTCGGATTGTCATTTTCACATTAAATTTTCCATAAGAGCAAAACCATCTACAACAGAATTAAGGCAATCACATTTGTTATACGACAAATATGTATGCCAACAATTTCTGAGCATTTGCTTCTTATGAATATATCGTGTGACCGTGTGTGTGTGTATATATATGAGGTATCCCCTAGTCGGGCACTCCTGACTGGGCCAACATAATCGTTCAATTATATTCTCTATGCAAATTATATATGTATCTAGTTAATCAATATCCATAAGCTCGGCAAGCAGACGAACAAACAAACAGATTGGCAAATAAAGGCTGGCCAGTTTATAAATGTAAATTATTTACATATTAAGTAATTGCAGCTTTTCGCGTCCATTTAAATGTCACTTTCCTTATTTGCTTTTTTCAGAAATATGTCAGCGAACTGTCGACTGTACGAGATTGTGCTACTGAATGCGTTGAGAAAGGTAGGTTATTTTTATTCATGGATGCCAAGATATATGTTAATATATTAATTCGATACATATCAGCAAAAATATCTTCAAGAGACTATAAACACCTGACATATTTTGCCATATCACAATGTTATCGCTTGCAATAAAATTACGGTCTTTAAGCACTAAAAACTGTTAAATACCATAAACGGAGCTTAAAACCCGTTAACTTTAATGATCGTATTAAAAATTGGCCAAATAGAGTAAATGCATTACGTATTGGATGAACAAGCAGAGTCGATGTGTGGGAAAATATTTTCACTATCTCACATATACACTCACGGGAGAAATATTATGTATTCTTATGTGCAGAATGTAGTGATCAGGTACCAGGAATACGAAAGTATTCGTATATCACAGTAACCGTCCAATATTATATAAATTCTCTACTCATTTATTAAAGGTATCGATGGCTAACTGAAATCAGAAAACACGGTTTCCCTTCGTATGGAAACTTGAAATTCCCCTTCGGAGAGTTTTAAAAATATTACAGAACTATTAATATGCTTTTTGGAGGATTTTAAAAATATTACACAACTTTTAATATGCATAATAAGATTACTATTACCATACAGTTTTAATAGTTATGTATTCTTAACATTTTTACAGAAATTTGGGAAACCCAAACATATTGCTGCAAAGAAGATGGCTGCAATTCGAGCGGCTTGATGAAAGCCTCTGTATTTTTGGTCTCTCTGCCAATTATCATGTGGTTATTTTAGATGAGTTTTTCGGAATTGCAGTATTGAATTCTAGATCATTTTTTCCAATTTAATAGTTTTAAGCATTAGACAACTTTTCTTCCTAGGTTTGTGCATGTGTTTAAAAAAAAAAAAAGAAATAATTTTTCGTTATTATTGTTTTCAAAAACAAATTTTGTAAATGGGACCTAAGAAACAAATCTTTAATAAAAATGATTTAAAATTTTCTTTCAATATTCACATTACAATTCTTGAGTTACTAAATGTTTTATTGAAACAACCTTATGTTAACTTTAACTGTCTTCCCAAATCAAGATTTTTAGGATATACCAATTTATAAAGTTTTTAATGAATAAAGCTTCGTAGAGTGAACATCATAGTTAATATATAACTCTTATTATTGCTCTGCTCGGCCTCGTGTTATTTTCGATTGATAGCTGAACTTTCAAATAAGCTGAAATATCTGAATGGTAAATAAAAAACATAAAAGATTAAGAGGAAAAATTGTTAGAATATAGACATTTAGAAATTAAAAATTGCACTCAAAGCAGATGCTAAACTAAGAACAACCTAATGAAATATATATCTTTATTTAAAATAATAAAATATATGTGGTTTAAAGTATAACATTTCTAATCACCAAAAATTATATATTAATAATAAAGTAGAAATGGCATCCATCTCAACAGAACTTGAATATTTTTGCAAGCCACAGACGCAATGTAATCTAAAGTACTTCCTTAAAAATAAAAAATATAAAATGTAAACGAGTAACTTGATTGTTCTGTGCAAATAAAAAGAAAATAAATAGATTTCAGATTAAATATATTATTTTGATTATTTATTTCATATATTACTCAAATGCCAAAGTCACAGTAAATAAACTTTAAGGTCTGTGACTTTGTTATTTGGTTTTTAATATTCAAAATATCAGATTCTTAACAATTTGAATTGATTATAAATATAAAATATAAATTTTTTCCGTTTACTATAAATATCTATATTTATATGTAATTTTAGGGTGGTGCGAGTTAAATGATAAAAATTAAAATAAAATTATAAAACTAACTTTAAGGAAAATATAAAAAGTTCTCACTCTACTGTGCATGAAATTCTAAATTATTATTAAATTGATAAAAATGAAAAGTAAGTTTAATTGCAATGGAACATTAAGCAAAAATTTGGAAATGCTATTGAATAGTTAACAACGTAAAAGCCAAATATTAGAATTTACAATATTGGAAGCTTAGAAAAATGAAATTAAAAAAAAAAACAAATGTAAAAATGTATTATTCCAAACAAAAAGCGCACTTATGCATTTCAATTTTTATTTATTTAAATTCCTAATAATATATATAAATATGTATTAATAAAAGTGGCCAAATGGCATACGTACAATACACAAATATTTTAATCAATAATAATATAATATTTAAGGATTCTTTCACACATTTGAATAATTTAAATGTGCAGTCATTCCGGTCTTTTATAGCAATTCCCGTTTGCAGGTTGGAGGGATAAGGATACACCCTTAACCATCGACTAGTCCATTATTTCATATGTACTGTAAATTTTGTTTTTTTTTTACATGTCCTTTTGTGGGGCTAACAATGAGAAGCAAATTATGAAATAGCTTGGCATCGGGCAGCGGGATCTTTATGAAGTATTTAGAAATTATTTGAGATGAACAGATGATATTTTTCATTCATTCTGTTCTTGTGTACGTCTATGATTATGATTCGAAAGATTGTGAAGTATATCGATTTGAGTATTAAATATTGCTCCAATTGTATAGATTCTTTCCTGATCATATTTACACTCGTCATGCTCCACATTATTATCAAGGGGACTTATTGTATGTTTTGCAACAATTGCTTTGGCGATGGTAAGCTCCCATTTGTTTCTCTTATGTTTGATCGATTGTATTGATCTCATTATGTTTTCAGAAACAGTTCGGTTATCTCGGCGATAACATATACGAAACATTCGCAATTGCTTTACCCTTAGAACATAAACTCTCATTTCGGCATAAATGAATTGAAATATGTTGATGCGACGACCAGATACCATATCCCTTTGATGTTTTGCAGTGCAAACAAAGTCGTTAATTATTGATACGAACATATTCACCAAAATCACTGAAATAACGAATACCAAGATTGAAAAAAATATAGCGCCAATGAACTGGCCGCCGCGAAACAGTTCTTCCGGATTAACGCCATTGGTATATCCGAATGTGAAGCATGTGCATGTGATGATACTCTGGCGAAATTCAGAGAAGTTAAAGCTGTTGTTGCCATTAAACGTAGATACCGCAATCGCAAAACCCAACAGTAATACGATAATCACCAGAGCGACAGACGCCACCGCTCGCCAAGACAAATACAGGGTTTGTGTGAAGAGCTGGAACATATTGGAGAATTCGAGAGCCTTCCAAAATCGAAGAGTAATCATACACAAGAGAAACCCTATAAGTACTTCGGTGTTCGAGTGCATGCGACTTGCTTCTAATACTTGTATGAACTGCAATTTACTGTCATTTGCAAGGTGATCAAAAATGGTCGCGATTTTTGACTCCCGTATGAAAATCATTATTATAATAAGGATGTTAAGCACAAATATTGCAACATCCACTTTGTTCCATAGTGAACGAATTTGTGCCGGCTCAAACCACAATTTGATTGCCAGCCCCTTAACGAAGCGTACAAATGTTATGATATACACAATTACAAACAATATTGTTGGGTGTGTAAATTGGTCCCTTTTATCAAATAAATTTATGGCATTTACATTCACGTAAGGAATCATGGTGCCAAAGGGTGTTTGCTCTAGACGCAAGGTGCACACAGTTAATAATTTTGCGTCAGCGCTATACAATGCGAACTCCATAAATAGAACCGACGTATTATAATTGAGCCACTTATTACTGTGTAGGAATTCTACGATCACGTCACTATTTTGTTGACTGCGCGCAAGTAACGACATGTATCCACTTAGCTTGGGATATGAGCGAAGATATCCTCTATCATTTCGCTTTATTAACAATTTAATTTCCGAGTTCAGATCTTTGAATATCCACGGATCGTAGATGCGCCAATAGACTTTATCGTAAGGAAAGCGACGATATGGTAATTTCCATCCAGGCAGATATGATTTCTCTGAGAACGGAGGGTTATTCACTCTATCAAGCTGCACATCAATAACACGCAATTGACGTAGTCGAACGACTCCAAGCAAAGCAGTCTGCTCGCTATGAATCCACGATTTCTGAAATTCTTCTCCATCAATAGCAAAGTCATTAATTAGCGTAGATTTTATGAAGCCATAGGCACTTGTCAATTCGCTCACATCGTACAATCCATAGTAATTGGAATAATTGTATGTGAATAGGCGCTTAATGTGACTTCGAGTGTAATACGTAGTCTCATCGGATAAGAACAGTATTAGACACATTATAAACATGAAATACATCCCAAACAACCATAAATCATTTACTATCTCCCTATACTGGGAGTTCAGTTTTTCATCACGATGCTTTTCCGGTATTGAGAGATGGGCCCGTAAACTGTTCAATCGCAAGTTAAGATAATCTAACTGTTTTTGATGGCCAACTTCTGCATCTGTAGCGTATTTCAGGTTCTTTGGACTCCAAAAAGCGTCTAGGGTAGCAAGTATTAGAAACCTGATTGGATCTCCGAATAGAGAGTGACACAAAAACACTATAAGCAGGGACACCAACATTGATCTAAATTTACCGTTTGAGTGATTAAATCCGGAGAATACTGCAATGGTTGTCAAGCAAACAAGTACGGTAAACAATGTAGTCCACAAGAAAAATAGATTTGTCCGCTTTGCCATATTCTCTAAGACGCTTTCAAAATGAGAAGGTGATATTACAATAAATATTTATGACAATAAACAAGTTTTAACTGACAGCCTGAACAAAACTGTTTGACTAGAAATTTGTATGAGGTGTGATCAATCGTATTCTTTGCTGGTGAAGGCTATCGAGATGATTATATATTAGAAATGGAAATAAAGTTGAAGAGCGGTGTTCTGTTTACTTTAGCAGACAGTTTGAAAAAGAATATATTCGTTATCTGCAGCATTTCACTTTCGTGAATGAGAATAAAAATTTCAAGTCTCTGCGTCATATGTATTTTGAGATCAACGCGTTCATACATACAGACGGACAGGGCCAAATTGATTCAACTCGTTGCCCTGATCAATAATAATAATATATACATATACCTCATGGGGTCGTCAAGCCTCCTTCTGCCTGTTACATACTTTTAACAAAACCCTGTTTTCAGAAGAGGTATTACGTTTTTTGGATCTTCCGTGTATAGCTTCAAATAAAAAGGAATTGCAGTATGAATGTGATGACGAGGATAATTATAATATGGAATTAAAATAAGTTTTATTAAATTATAAAAATATAATTGATTGCAAGTTATTTGTATCATGTAACTCAATTTTCAGTGTATTCACCTCGTGTATACAAAATTCTTTGTACCCTTTTACAAGTGTCATCTTTCCAGCCGCATTCCCTAACAGGTTAACGCACCAGACTAGTTAAATGCTTCAGTTCGCCGCTGCTTAGGATACGCTCGGTTACGCAGAGTTCAGACTCACAGTTGCTACAACTGCATCGCGCTGGTAGTTGGTGAAGCTGCTTCCGTTCCACCAAAAGCAGAACAGTTTACTAATATACATACATATATAGAAAAAGGCTATTAGAAAGCTCTGGCTTTGATGGTTGAACCGAACAAAGTGTATATAAGCAACGCTGCGAGCTCGAAATTAATGTACTTAAATTTAAGAAACTCTGTGAGAAAACTCTTCAATTATTTTTAAAGAAATATATGCGGTATCCAACGAGCGCTACTGTTCAAATGATTTTAGATCACGGGAGGAAAAGCTTCTTAGACACGGAATTACATATTATAATCGTGATAGACTATTTCACGCTAGGAAAAACAGCCGGAAAAATAATCTAACTGCCGTGCTTTAGAGAGCATTTGATTCATATCTTTTATTATCGGGTATCTCTTCGCAAAGAAACAACAAGGCGCAATTAATACCAAAA